TCACAAACACAATGACTCCTGTGATCAGAGTAACAATTATAAACATTATGGCCAGAAAAAATAAAACATGAGGGTACGATGTGCTCCACCCTTTCTTTCCCCCAGCTGGAACTTTGTCAAGCAGCATTGGAGGTCGGTTGGGCTTCGCCAGTCAGGTTCCAGTCCCCACCTGCCCAGTGTGAGACGCAGGCCTGAGAAATAAATACACTGAGAGACAGAACCAGGAGAGAAAGCGGGGCCAGGACGACCAATGCCGCTGCAACCGACAAAGGCGAGGGACAGTCCCAGGCACTGAGTTTTAGTGGCAATCAATTGGGGTAAAGGTGAGCTATGAGTGATTGCTATGGAAAGTAATGTAAACAAGGCTCACAAAGGACAAGACAAAGCATTCTCAAATTAGGAACAGAATAGATAAAATATATCATTGTAATTAGAACATCGTCCTTCTAGTCAGAAGGTTTTAGTTGTGGGAACGGAATTTGGGTGCGAGTTCCTCTGACCTCGGCTCGTAGGCTTCGGCTGGACTCACTTCTCAAAGCTGTGGGGTTAGCTCTTCACAGCCGGCTTTGGGCGTAATCAGCATTATGGTCCCCTGCAGCTATGAGCCCATCAGTGGGTCACAGCACTCCCACGATCCAGTCACTTTCCAAAAGCCCACCACTGAACACATGAGACTTTGGGGGACATTCCAGGTCTGAACCGTGATGCCAGCACAGGGGCTGAGGGATGCAGAGCAGACAGAGCCAGGCAAGGAGGAAGGGGTGAGGGTGGCCCAGGGCCACGGAGAGAATAGGGTGCTGTTCTCCCCGCCCCACCCAGTGCAGCACATCGAGGTGCTGCGGAGGAGTACCCCACAGTGGGAGGCAGCCTGCCCACCCCTCCAGAGCTGGGCACGGTACTCCTTGTAGCACAGGTCTGCAGAGTCCCCTAGCACCCACCCCTTCTGGCTTGGGGACCTGACTTCAGCAGGACAGGTGGAAGGAGACTGCTCTGTGAGCTCCTGGAAGTTAGGAAACCCTGCAGGCAAGTGGGTGGTGTCTCCTCCTGAGGTCCCAGGACAGGCTACGCCCTGGCAGCCCCAGGAGTGCCCACTTCCTGCCCCAGGCTGCAGGTCAGGGTGGGGTGGAGACAGGCTACTTGCAAATGCGTGGCTCCGATTTGACACCAGGCTGGCCTCATGCAAGGGCCTCTCTGGACTTTGGCTCCTGGAAGGGGGCCCACCACCAGATATTCCTGGGCTCCGGTTCAGGGCCTGAGACTCCTGTTGCTCCAGGGTCTGCCAGGTACATGGCAGAAGGAAGGGGTCTTCAGCCCCTCAGGAGTCCCCACTCCATGAGCCACTGGTGCAGCCCCTGGGTCTTCCTGCAGCCTACAGGATCTGCAGGGCCCAGAAGCCCACATCAGGACCCTGCTAACATGCACAGGGGCTCAGCTAGGCAACTGCGGCAAGGAGGACTGAACCGAGAGGCAGGAGCCAGCAAGGAGCCGTGGCGTCATCTCCCCTGCCCATTGCCTGTCCGCACTTGGCCCTGGCTCTGACCCTGTGAGCACTGCCTGTGGCTGCCAGACTGGCTTCTCTAGTGGGCTCCAGGCGCAGAGGTCCCGCCACCTGGTGGGCGTCCTGGGCATACCGTCCAGCTCCCGCACATGTCTCCAGTGTGGGTGCTATGGGGTTCCCCATCCCAGAGGCCCCACTGCCAGCCTGACACCTGGTGGGCTCCCCATTTGCTCCCTGCCACCCCCGCACAGGGGACCCCAGGCCTCCCTGGAGCCCACTTGGCAGGTGCCCTCTCAACTCACCTGCCACCCTGGGTCCCCTGGCCCCTGAGCTCTGGGCAGGAGTGTCCCCCATCACAAGGGAGCCCCATGGGCCACACACCTCGTGGTCTCGGGAATGCGGGTCACACCAGGAAGAGGCCCTTTGTGGGCAGCCACAGTGGGATATTCACCCCTCCTGGCACCTGGGAAGGTGGACGTCTCATGTCTCCCGGGGAGGGGCTGGGAGACAGGAGGAGGGAGGGAGACTCCAGGGGCAGGGACCAGGGACAACAGACAGGCGGTGCCCAGGACAGGCCGGGCCGCAGTAGCTGCTCACCAGTGGTCATAAACCCCAAGTTTCCTGCTGCCCACAAAGGGGTCCGCTGGGCTCCTGGGCAGCACCCTCCTGGCCCAGCCCCAGCTTGGTCTAGGAGCCCTTTCGTCCCCTCCTGCCCACCTAGGACAATGGTCTCCAGCCTCACGGCTACTTGAGGGAACTGGGGGCAGCAGGGTGTGACTTCCTGTGGGGTGCAGTGCTGTCCCAGAGGCTCAGCCCAGGGCTCGGCAGGACCCTGTGAAGCAGCAGGCTCCTCGGGTGGTGACGGTGACAGCGCCATCTTCTGGGGACAGTGTGCAGCAGCAGCTCCGTGTGGCGGCCTGGGATGGCCATGGCCAGCTCAGACAGGGAGCCCCCGGGAGCCCGGGCACGTCAGGAGCATGGCAGCAAGGCCACAGCAAGCTGCAGGCAGGGCAGGCATGGCCAACGAGGAAGCCCTCTGCTCTGCAGCAGGTGGGACAGAGTTCAGCTGAGGCCATGCGAGCCCTGCTGTGTGCAGAACCTGAGCCAGTTGGGCCCACTGAGGCACACGTTGCTTCCCTTATTCCCTTAGTAAGAGGCCCTTCGGTTTAACCAGGCATGTGGTACCTGGTATAACAATTTCATTTCCCAGTCTTATCTGTAGATGTGTGACTAACTTTTAGCCAGTGGGATATAACTGAAAGTAGCATTGTCGCTTCAAAGCTATACCCTAAAGGAAGAGGTGTACCCTTTTCCCCTCACACGCCCTTTCTTGTGGCCGAAATACAGATGTAATGGCCCGACTCCAGCAGCCATGTTGGACCATGTGGAACCCTGAGGAAGTCATGCCTGGCAGAGCAAGAAGACAAGAGGGCCCTGGGTGCCTGGCACCACACAGGCCCAGATGGCCCCTCCACACTTGCAGACAGTGAGACAGGTATAAGGTCCAGTTGGCTGTTTCTCTGTTGATTGCAGCCAAGGGCTAACCCTAATCTTAATGCTACGGAAACTGCTGGGCACAGACTTCAGAGAGCTGTTGGAAAAGCTCTCCTCTCGGCCAGGGGAGGGAGCAGGAACACGGGCCACCCTGGACGGTGCTGGCTCAAGGCTCTGACTAGCTGCCCAAACTGTAGACCGACCATGATACCCCTGCTTCAGAGGCCCCAGCACCCACCTTGCCAAGCCCATGCTGCCCCGTGCCCTGCAGACTCCCCTGAGTTGTCCCCAGAGCCCCTCTCTGCCTCCAAGCCTCAGTGGTCACTGAGCCCTGCAGAGCTGCCCTTCCTGCTGAGCTGACCCCTCAGCCCAGGCAGGGATGGGACTGGGGGAAGAGAACACTCCCACACCAGGACACCAGGTGGCCGGGCGCTTGTAGGACCCTCTGGCAGGGGACAGACTGGCTGAGCACCCACTGGCCCTCCAGCTCCAGTGGTCCTGCAGACAGCCAGGGAGGAGGCAGAGCTAGGTCCTGGGGCTCAGCATGGGTGCATACGAGGCACAGAGGGAGACCCGGCCGAGTACTTGAGGGCAGCAGGCCCAGGCGGAGAGCTCCCCACCAGAGCCCGAAGGCCTGGTGGCCAAGGAGGCCTCCAGGAGGGAGGGCGGAGGCGCAGATCCCCTCCTGCGGGCCTGGGGCATCTCACACTTCCCGAGGGCCTGGGGCTAATGGAGCCTGGCTCAGAGGTGCCAGCCCAGGATCTGATGCTGGATGCTGACCTGCCCTCCTGCGGGGCATAGGTGCCATGGGTGCTCAGACTTCCAGCCTCCAGGGGCCAGGGAAGTGTTTCTGCTGTTCCACAGCTCGTGGCCAGGGGCAGGTGGCCTAGGAAAGGGCCGGGGGCTTGAGACCCATCCACCCCAGCGGGGCCCAGCCCTCTGACCCGGAGCCCAGAAACAGCGAAGAAGCCACACTCGGTCCAGATCGAATCACGCATTTACTAAGTACACAGGTCCACTGGGCGTCTGGACTCGGCCCGTGGCAGAACTGTCCAGTGTCCACACATGTCCCTGCCATGGGCTTCTACACTCGGAGTCCCTGTGAACCCACACCGGCCCGTTCCTGTGGCGGAAGTGAGTGTCTCGGCTGGCTAGTGCTTGAGAGAACTAGAGTGTGCTCCCTGGCGTGGATCCCCAGAAGACAGATGATGCGCGAAGTCGAGACCAGGGTGCAGGGGCAACGCAGTCGCCCGAGGAAAAGGCTGGGCCTGACCCCCGAGCGCCTACAGTCGGTGCAGGTGGACGTCGGGACGAAGGCATCACGAAGTATTCTTTGGAGCGTGAACAAAGTGCAAAGACAGCCAAGGCAACAGCGAGGATGGGGAAGCTGCCACCACCGTCGTGGCCGGGACAAGACGGCAAGGAGTGGGAGCAGGCGTGGGGCCCGGGCTCGCAGTGAGCCGCGCCAGTCCCAGGCAGACGGTGGCGTCGAGGGGACAGCCAGCTCTGGGTGCCTCCGAGAGCGACAGCCGGCAAGGCCCTGCCTGCCTGTGCTGAGCCCCAGCCAGACCCCTCAGCCTGGACGCCCACCTCGGAGGAGGCTCCAGGGCCAAGGACAGGGATCCCCGTCAGCACTCATTAAGGCAACGACTTTGGAAAACCCAGTCCAAGCTGGATGTGTGGCAGTTAGCGACCAGCAGTCCTGCCCAGGACCCCAGGGCCCTGACGGAGTGTCCAGTGCAGGGGATCTCAGGGCGGGCCTGGCTGCACCCACACCCTCAGTCGGCCAGTTCCTCGGCCGACAGGCCTCCTTCCCTTCTCTACTCTGGTCCCAGAGACCCCTCCTCTGCCCAAGGATGGGGGGACCACAAAGCTCATGGTCCTCACTGATGCGCACCCTGGGGGACCTGGAGAGAGCCGTGGGGCTGTGCCACCTGCACGCACTCAGGCTTCTTCTCCCTGAGCCCGCAGTTCCTTCACACTCTCCCACAGGAAGCCCTCCCTTCTGTCCCCCTCCTCCTCAGCGTCCGGCAGGGGCCTGGAGCAGCTGGAGGACAGCCGGCCTGGGACAGCCACACAGGCACCCTGGCCGGTGACTCCGGCCCTCTCGGCCCCACACTAGCGGCTCAGGACCATCTCAGGAACCGGATCCCAGTCCACACGCTCCAGGGCCGGGCCTTGCTGTGGCCATGCCTCCACTCCGCCCCAGCTCACCTGGCTCCACCAAAGGTGCCCAGAGGCCCACAAGTCTCATCACAGCTGTGGGTGCTGGCCAAAGGCCCTCGCCGTGTTTGTTTTAGGGGGCTGTAGCAGCAGAGGTGACCAGCGCCACGCTGCTGGCCTGAGCCTGAAGGCCAGGGCAGGTTCCCACGGCCTCCACTCTGTACACTGTTTACAGCCCAGACTCGAACCCAGTGTCTCCCGCTGAGATGCCTCAGCACCCACGGCTCCCTTTGCCTTTGGGAAGCTTCCAGCAACATCTCAGGGCCGAAGTCTTCCCCCCAGAACAGGGTCTTGCTCACAGGGCCCTGAATGCAGACTGGGCCCCGCCACGGCAGCAGAAGGCAGGGTGCTTCCCTGGTCCTCGCCCCCCACACCCCCATCCGCGACCACAGGGCCCCAGCGAGCGCAGAGAAGGCAATCACAAAACAAATGACAAAATAAAGTGCACTGGGAGGCAGGGCGGCCCTGGCTGACTTTCTTCTGGGCAGGGACTTAGAGTGATCAGAGGGGCCCTTGCAGTGCTCAGCAGCTCTCCAGCCTCTGGATGGTGGTGGGAAGCAAGGCCTCCCAAAGAGGTAAGGGGTCACTAGGGTGTACCTGGGGTCCCACAGCAGTGGCCAGGACGTGGCCTCTGCCATCTGTCCTGCCAGACCGTGGCAGAGGGAAAGGTGGCTCTCACCCTGGGCTGTCCCAGCACAGGACACCGGGCGGTCTCGCAGAGGATGGAGAGAGGTCAGGGGTGAAAATGCCAATGGTGGACAGGCAGTGCCTGCATGGAGCAAAACCTGGGGGTGATGAGGCTGGGCCACATGTCCACAGAGGGCCCAGGGAGCGGTCAGCACCAGATGTTGGCCCAGTGCAAGGACAGAGCCAAAGCTGGTGGACACCGAGGCCTCCCTGAGCCCAGCACAGACCTCTCTGGGCACTCAGCGTCCACAAGTAGGCACGGAACCCTGAACGGGCTCCAGGTGGACCCACTGCCACTGCTGTCCAGAAGCCCCAGGCAGTTGGAACCCCATCTGGGCCCAACATTCTGGAACCATGAGTGTAAAGTCATTCGTTTCTTGTGGCTTAAATCAGGAAGGGTCAAAGGGCAAAAGATCAGAAACAAAGGGCAGCCAAAGTCAGAATGGGATCTTGTGTGTGTATGTGTGAGGGCATACAGGTGTGTACATACCATGGAGGTTGTGTACTCGTATGTGGCTACAGCAGCATGCACACGTGGAAGTGTGTACCTGCCATGTGTGTGCACTTATATATACATGTGTGAGTGTGTGTACCTGCTCTGTATGTCCTGGGAGCTTGCATGTACACGTGTGAGTTGCATGTGTGTACCCATCATGTGATCTGCTTGTGTGTACATTTCATGAACCATGTACCTATGCGTATGTGCTTTGCACAGGCATGTGTGTAAAAGTGTACCTGCTTTGTTACTTGTGTGCACATTGTGAACTTGTGCACATGAAATTGTGTTCCTGTCATGTGTGTGTGCATGTGCACTTGTGAGCCTGTGTGTGTACCATGTGTGCACATACGCGCCTGTGTGTATGAAAGTACCACCTGCTATGTGTGCAAGTGAAAGTGTGTCCTGGCCATGTGTGGTCTGTGAGCTTGTGTGTGCATGTGTGTGAGTGCATGTGTGTGCCTGGCTGCAGTGTGTGTGTCTGGGGGCGTGGGGATGCCTGCCCTGACAAATGCCTTGCCCTGGAGACCCTTACCACAGGGTGGCCGCTGGCCCTCAGCCACATATGCAGACCCAAGAGTGCTTGCACCAGACTGTTGTGCTGGTCCGGCTGGGCCCAGGGGAACCCCAGAGGGAGCTCCTACCCCATCCTCTACCCAAATAGGACCCCAGTCACCCCACTGCGATGTGCACTTTGCTCTTCTGAGGGGCTGGAGACAGCACGGTGTCTGGGCCAGAGCTCCCTTCCAATGCTGGCAGTCTAGCCACAGCGCCTCTTGCTGCAACCTGAAGAAGATCCTCCTGCTGTCCTGCTGGGCCACCAGGGTTCGGGGGATACCACTGCCCCATCTCTCTCACACTGCAGAGCCCCAGCCCGGGGCCCCAGGGGCAGGAGGCACAGGTCTGGGGTGGCACATGCAGCCGTGAAGCCCGTGGGACAGGAGGCAAGGGGCCCCTGCTCCAGCCCTGAGCCTGAGATGGCTGAGACCCCCTGGGCCTGTGGCCCCAGCAGGAGCCTCCCTATGCCATCACCAAGAGCAAAGGATGACTCAGGCAAGGCCTGGCTCAGATTGGCCTGGAGGAGCGAGGTGAGGGGTGACCACGCATCCTGCCACACGCTCTCTTGCAGCAGCCACCCTGGAAGGTACATCCCTCACCACAGAGGGGATCTCGGCCACACAAATCCTGCCGGTGAGAACCAGGGCGCCAGGGACACATCGGTACAAATGTAGGCGGGACTCCCAGCCAGCTCCTGGCAGACATGCTCCAGAGTGGGAGCCCTGGTGCCTGGTGAGGCCCCCAGCACCCAGGACCCCCAATGGTCAGGGCCATGTGACCCCAGGAGACAGTTTCCAGGTCCTCCCCAGGGGCCAAGATGGCCCCCGCCACCTCCAGTTCTGTTGGAACAGACTTCACACAGCGGCATGAGAGGCAGGCCCCACTGGTGCCCAGCAGCTACTCAGCCGGCTCACACCGGGGGCCTGGCTGCTGCAGAGCCCCGGCTGCCCACCACTCCACGCCATCACCCAAGAGACAGACACCCCCAGGCCAGAGCCTGGAGGAGCAGAGCTGGGGCTCTGTCTGCCCCTCGGGGCTGGGCCCGTGAGCCTCCACAGCTGGCTGCCGATCAGGGCCAGGTGGCCAGGACAGGCAGGACAGAGCTTCCTGCTGTCAGGGCCCAGGGTAAGGGACCGGTATCCCCAACTCCCAGGCAAGGGACCCGTCAGTGAAAACGAGCGGCTGGGACACAGTCAGGTCCAGCAGAAAGGATCCTCAGCCAAGCACAGCAGCTGCCTGGAGCACAGAGCTGGCAGCTTGAAGGACCTCCCCAGCCGTGACTGTGCCACACAGCCCTGCCTGGGGCTGTTGGGGCACAGATTGGGGCAGGCCAGGAGGGGCCCTGGCTAAGGTCGGAGCAAATCTGCCCATTAGATGACTGTCAAAGTGCAGGCCATGGCCTGGTGCCTGGCACCGGCCAGAGTAATCAGGAGAAAGGAGAGGTCAGGCTGCCCTCTGCCCAGAGCTTCCGTGGCTGGGGTGCTGCTGGCTCTCACCCCCGAGAGAGCCCAGGCCCGGGGCAGCTGGGGCCCCCAAGGACCCCTTTGAGAAGAGGCTGCCAGCCATACCAACAGAGGCCACAGGAGGCCAAGCGCAGGGCAGCCCCAGGATTGCTCTGGCACCCAAGGCTTCACCCCTTCCTCAGCTCCAGGCAAAGGGTTCTGAGCTTGGGGTGGCTCCCATCAAAAGACCTGTGGACCCCAAAGAGAGAGGAGGATGCTGGCCGGCAGCTCTCTCGCCAGGCTGCCAGAAGCCAGGGACCCAACCCAGCTGTGCACACACATGGCAGCTGAGTGGTACCTTGCTGAGGACGATGAGGAACGGAGGGACAAATGGTCAGGGCAAAGGTGGTCCACACCCAGTGAATTGCCATTCTGAGAGCTACCAACCCAACCTGGCACCCCTGGGGCCTCAAGGCCAGCCGCCACAGGCACCCTCACCACCCCGATGGCTTTGTGCCCCTCATCACTCTGTCCTTGTCCTGCACAGTGTGACGGCCCCTGAGCAGACTGGGCAGACCATGCTCCTCCAGCCCGTCTGCAAAGGAACTTCTGCAAAATGACCCTGCATGAGCCAAGAAGCCCCGTGCACCCATCACCCCACAGGGACCCCCAGGAGCCAGACCCACCAGCACCCCTCGCAACCCACGGCACCCCAGGAAGAAGCCCCAGAGAGCTCTGGCCACAAACCAGAAGGCAGAGTTGGGGGTGGCTCAGCAGGGGCCTGATGGCCTCACTTCCTGGGCCCAGCCCAGCCCATATCGCCAAAGGGGCCCTCGCCTGTGGCAGAGCGTGGCGGGGGCCCACAGGGCGTGCAGAGGTCCGAGTCCGTGTCGGACTCGCCCTCCGCGATGTAGGGCCTGACCTTGGCACACGGGGCCACAGCTGCGTAGCAGCCGCTGAGCGCGTCCAGGTTCTCCTTGGATTGGGAGATGCTGAAGCCACTGAAGGAGCGCTCCAGCTCCTCGTGGTCCACGGATGGGATGGAGATGGACGTGTCACTGTCCCGCGGGATGCCCTCGTGGGGCCTGCAGGCCGGGGTGTCCTCCAGCCTCAGGAACTCTGTGCTGGCCCGGTTGGCCCCGCTGTAGGCGGACAGCGAGCGCTCATGTGCGGGCGGCGGTGGGATGCGGACCAGTGAGCTGTGGTCCCCCACAGGGGAGGTGCCGTGGCGCTGGTGCCCCTGCTGCTGCCATGAGGTGGACGGTGGGCACTGGGCAGGGGGCACTGTGGGGGGCGCGGAGAAGTTCCTCTGGCCGGTGGAGCTGGTGGACCGGACGATCTTGATGATGCAGCCGTGCTTGTCCACGTGCTCCCGGCTGTCCTCGGGGCTGTGGTACGGTGGTGCCGGCTCTGGCTCCTTCGCTCCAAAGTAGGCCTCGGTCTCGGTCGGGGGGATGCCCATGCGCTGCATGTAGATGTTCACCAGGAAGTCCAGCTTCTTCTCCATGGACAAGACCTGCAAGGGGGCCACTGCTGGGCTGGGCCGGGCTTAGTGGGCCCCCAACTCACGGCAGCTCAGCCTTCTGACCTCGCAGCTCCCAGCTCCCAGCTCCCAGCTCCCAGCTCCCAGGGGCACCCAAGATGAGGGCCTGTGCAGTGGTGTCTAAAGACCCAGTCCCGGAGAGTGCGGTGGGGAGGCGGGGCCCAGCAAGGAAGGCAGGAGCAGGCTGGCCAGTGGGACTTCCAGCAGGCTCAGGGCGGATGACGCACCCCAAGGCGCCCTCCAGCGTAAGTCAGGCTCATGGCCAGTGCCACCCAGGGCACAGAGAAGCGTGTGAGCTGGGTGCTCTGGCCTCTTGGTGCTGTGCAGCAGTCAGGTAAACTCGGGGGAATGAAAGGGTCCAACTGAGCAGCCAGTGCGGTGCCCCCCCACGCCCACCCTAGCCCAGGCCCCGGAGCCTCTCCTACCTGCTTCTCTACCTTGCCGAGCCGCCCCATCATGCTGGGGTCCTCTGGCAGCTCAGCCTCCGCCGGGCCCTTGGTCCGGTCCTTGTCTGTTATCGCTGGGCCCCGCCCCACGATCTGGTCCACTCTGCCGGGAACAGAGACCCGGCCCCAGGCATGAGTTTGGGAGGATGTGGCCAGACCTTTGCCCCTTCCTCCCTGGCCAGCCCACAGCCCCCCAGATCTGGGCTCCAGGCCCAGCCCAGAGCCGACCAGGGGGACAGCAGGTGCCACGGGAGGGATACAGGTGCCTCAAGCTCTGGCCCTGCCTTCTGACACCCTGGGTCCTGCTTCCTAGCCTTCTGTTCTGGGGTGGGGCACATTAACGAGGAGTAAAGTGAAGGGCCCCTCCCCGCCAGTCTGCCCCAGCTCATCCACAGCGGGGCTCCCTGCCCGGCACAGCCACCCAGCCCCTGCTCTTCCACCACAGTCGAGCCCAGAGGAGGGTCAAGAGGTGCCAGGCATCCTCCAAAGGGTCGTGGAGCGCGGGGTGCTGTGGCCCTGCCCTGGAACCCATGCCTGCCCACCTCTGAGCTTTACTCCTGCATAATGTGCCACCGAGGCCCGAGGACCAGGCTCCGATGGGGACATTTCAGTGTCTGCAGCAGCGACAACAGAAGCAGGGAGGCGGACAGGCTGCAGCTCCATGCACAGGAGGAGGAAGGAGGCGACAGAGCTGCTCAGGAAACGCCCCCACAACCACAGGAGGACGGAGCGGGCCGCTACCAACCGCAGGCGTGTGCTCGAGTGTGAGAGTACACTGCAACATGCATGCAGAGTGCATCCTACCCATGTTCACATGTGTGTGCAGGTCACAGAACCCAGTGCAGCTGACCTCAACGGAGGCCTTGGGCACCAATGCCAGAGAGAGGGAGAGGAATGCGGGGAGCAGAGTGCACGCCTGCTATCCCAGCCACTCGGCGGGGCTGAGGTAGGAGGATCACAAGTTTAAGGCCCGCCTCGTAATTTAGTGAGAGCCTATCTCAAAACTTAAAAAGGGCTGGGAATGTTGCTCAGTGGTAGAGTGGCCCTGGGTTCAATCAAAGAAAAGGACGAGAAGGGCACTCCTTGGTGCCGAGGGCACAGAGCTCCTGCCTGAGCAGCAGACAGGGAGGCCGCAGCGGGGCTGGCAGTCACAGCTCTGGGGTGAGGCCACCCACTGGACAAGGGCCCTGCGCTACACCGAGGCTCAGCTCCCGGAGACAGGGTGGCGAAGCGGGGGACCAGGCAAGGCCCCGTGCACAGTGACCGGCTCTGCGGGGCCACCCTCCCTACCTGGGGGCCTTGGCTGTCTGTTGCAAGAAGCAGAACGGGTTCAGCCTCGCATCAGCCATGGCAGCCTCCTCATGCTCCACCAGGCTCCATGCTGGGCTCATGCACAGCAAGAGGGACAGGGGGGCCCTCTGGCTCCAAGCAAGTGCTGGTGGGGATGGAGAGGGAGGGACTCCCCTGCGCGTGTCCACACAGCACAGCACAGACGCGCAGCACCTTCACCCCTGCCACATGACGGGCGCCTGCCTGGAGGGGCCCAGCAGGAGCCTCGGCCCAGGACTCAGCCTAGTGCTGCTGCTGGGTGTCCAGGAGAGGGTCCTCCAGGGACCCTGCACTGGCTCCTTCCCTCGGGCTCCAGCTGGGGAATCCTCCTCACTCCCCTGGTGTTCAACTCCCCTCGGGCTGAGTGGCCAGGCTCTCCCTCCAGCCCTTCCCATGAGGCCCGGGTCCCTGCTGAATGGTCTAGGAAGTCTGATGCCCCCCCCTCACCTCCTGCAGCAGTTGCTGGGGGAGGGGCCTCCAGGCACGGGGACAGTGGACTTGCAGGCTCTGTCTCGAGGGACCTGGCCAGGGAAGCGGCAAACACAATCCTGCCTGCTTCGGGGAGCCCTCTCATGGGAAGAGCCACTGGGTGGCCCCTTGGCCTCATGGGCAGCAGCCCTGTCCCAAGGGGGTGAGCAGAGGCCACGCCTGCCAGTTTACCAGGCACCCATTACCCAAGCACCCTGAGCTACCCAGACCCCGCTGCCCCCGAGCTGCCAGGCAGGGCCGAGTCTGCCCTTTCCCCTGCCTGCTCTGGGGTCTCTGCTCTCCCTGGCCTGTCAGACTTGCTGGAGAGAGGGGACAGTCATCTGGTGGCCCCAGGGAAGCCAGAAGCCTTGAAAAGTCTGGGTTAACCACTGAAGAGCCTGCTTCACCACTGACTGGCCTGACCCCCTATTCTGCCCATCAGAGGGCACTGGGGGAGGTACCACCATCTTCCTCATCAACAACACTAATTAAGACAGCAACTTGGAGCACTAGGTATCGCTCAGAGCCGGCTCGGTGTGGGTGCTGGAGGGACTTTCTTTCTTTTTTTTTTTTTGGTACCAAGGATTGAACTCGGGTCCTTGCGCTTGCACAGCAGGCGGCAAAACCACTGAGCTAAATCCCCAGCCCTGGAGGGACTTTCTTATTGACTCTGCGTGAGAGTCAAGAGGCAGATGCTGTCATCTGTACCTCAAGCCCAAGGAAGGGGCCACAGGGAAGTAGGTGGTCCTTCCTGCTCTGATCTATGCCCATGCCAAGGCCAAGACAGGCCAGGCATGTGGTGCTATGAACCCAGCAAAGGACAAGTGTCCAGAGGCCTAAGTCAGTGCCCAGGGGGTCATGGAGGGCCTCAGCCTCAAGGACTTATCTGTAGCTGGGCAAATGATACCCTGGTGGCCACTAATACCCTCAGCTTCTGCCCCAAAGCCACCCAGCCTGCGGTTGGATAGCAGAGGGCACCCTGCTAAGGGGCGGGGCTTCCCCAGGAGGTGCCTGTGGTGGGGCTGCAGGGCCCTGCTGAGAAGCAGCCTTCTCCCTAGCAGTGTCGTCAGGAGGAGGACACCTGGACGTCCCTCCGTCTGGGGCAGAGAATGGTAGAGCCGCCGTCATGTGGCCCGGAGCGAAGGGGCTGGCCATTCACAAAGACAGGCCGGAGGAGGTGCTGTGTCCTAACCTAGGTGAGTACTGGGGTGACTCTCTCGGAGGGGCCGTGGGTCCTTTGGTGGGGTACTTCTTGTGCCGGGGAGTTGAAGGGGGTGGGGGGCCCACAATCATATCTATCCTGGCAGCGTAAACAAGAAAGAGACAGCATGAGGCACCTGGAGAGGGAGTCGCTGGGACGCATGGACGCAGGAGCAGCCCAGCGTCCCCACAGTGCTTCTCCGAGAGAAACATCATACTCGCTTGCCCTGGGCGCTGCCCGGCCTTTCCCGAGTCCCGAGCCAAGTGTTCGACTTGGGCTGAACCTGTGGTGCACCAGGCTGCAAAGCACTTGGGTGCTCAGGACACAGCGGGGAGGCCCGGAGCAAAGTCCTGAGGGGCCAGCTGCAGAGCCAGCAGACGGCAGCAGACGGCAGCAGCAGGCCGGCCGAGGGGCCAAGCTGCTTTGCCTGCTTTCCAGACGGAATACAGAGTGGAGGGGATGTGCAGGACAGAAGACCTGCTAAGGTGGAGGGCGGGCCCTCACCCCATTCCCCAAGTCCACCTCTGCTCCGCCCAGGCCAGCAAGAGGCGCAGCCCATGCTCAAGGAGAGGCGGGGACCCCTCCCTGGCACCCGGAGCCAGAGACCCCTGACAGCCACGTGGCTCCTGACAGGTACCACAGACACACGCGTGTGTGTAGCCAAGGCACACGCCTGTGGGCCTGCATGTGGGTGCCAGGCAAAAGCACGCTCATGGCCTAGAGTCTGTGTGTGCACATGGGGAGCGCACGTGTGTAAGTGCACGTGCTCAGGGCTTTGCGTGTGTATGGCGCCTGCACGTCTGATTCCTGAAAGCTGGCGGGACCCAGCTACTGCTGCACCTCCAGTCACATTCTGCTTCCTGCTCGGGAGGGCACCCTCAGAGGGACTCACGGGGCAGACAGCCTGTGTCCTGGAAGAAGCAACTGCTGCCTGGCAGGGCCCACGGGAGCCCTGTGGCTTCATCTCTGACAGAAACGCTCCATCCCAACACGCATGCACACACATGTACACATGTGTGTGTATGTGTGCATGCATCAGTTCTTTTGTGTGCATGCACGGCACAGCACACAGGTGCATGTGCACACACCCACACATCATACATTCATGGACACACATGTGCAACACATGTGCTTACATATACACGTGTGCTCACACATTCAGAGACCCATCTACACACGTGTGCCTGTGCACATATATGTGTGAGCACGCACACACACACCAAACACACTTGCCCACCACAGTGTAGGAGGGCAGGGAGAAAAGGGAGACACAAGAGAAATCAGTGACACCACGTGAAGACAGGGCAGAAAGCTGACGAGAAGCTGACACGGGATTGGATGAGCTCCCAGCCCTGACACTGGCCTGCCTTGCATACCCTCCCACGCAGGCCCAGGGTGCCCACTGTCCCACGCCAGCCGGCAGCAGGGGAGGGGCTCTTGCCTGGACTGCAGGCTCTTGATGCGGGACAGCATGTCCAGGTGCCCGGCTGAATACTGCTCAATGACATCCATCACGTCGTATGGCCGCAGGCTCTCCTTGAACTTCCGCTTGGACACCAGGAACCGCATGACACTGGGGGACGAGCGGAGCTCTGAGCTCCAGGCCAGAGACTGTCCAGCCATAGGCCAGCTGGGCCAGGCCCAGGCCCCCTGCCGTCCCCTCTGCGCATCTCTGAGTAAGCCCAGGGATGACTACCCCTGCCGTCTGGGTCAGCACTGCCGTGATGCCACAGCCAGCGCTTGGTCCTCAGACACCCTGTCCACCTGGGCCGGCCAGTGTGCGGCACCTGGCTGTGCGCCAGCAGACTCCTCATTTGAGCCCCAGCTCTGGAAGTCATCCAGCCAAGCTGGCCCCTCAGGGGCTCCCTGCCCTTCGGGCAAGGGGCTCAGGCACGGGCTTCTCGTGGAAAGGCATCCTCAGACCAATCCTGCCAGTGACCCCAGCCTAGCCAGCTCTGCCTTTTCCCAGGGCAGTCGGTCCCCTGGCACCATGGAGACCTGCAGCCAATGGCCCCGAGGGCAGCTGCTCCCCCCGCCTGGCTGGTAGGGCTGGCTCACCACACGGCTCGGATGCTGACTTTCAGGCCAGGCGTCAAGTCCTCGCTCACAAACTCGCAGTTGCAGCTCTTATTGTCCTCCACGATGTCCTCCCCGGGGAGACTTGCTTCTGGGTGGAAGGGGTGTGGCCCCTGAGCGGTTGCTCCCCAGACAGCTCTGCAGACACCCCAGTTTCTGCAGCCCTTCCCTCTGGCAGGCTGCAGCCCCAGGGAGTGGCCGCATGAGGGTTTAAAGGAGCGTCCTTGTGATAGACAGCCAGCTGGCCACAGCGACATCACCCGCACACGGGACATCATCCCACCAAAAGGGAACAAGGCCCTGCCCCGGCCTGATGAGCCTCCAGAGCACCATGCTCAAGGGGAGAAGCCAGGGCCCGGAGCCCCTGCTGCAACTCCCCCTGAGGCAGGACCCCTGGGTTGGGGGTGGGGCTGGGGGCAAGCGGGTGGCTACTAACAGGCTTGGGGCTTCCTTTCCAGGTGACGAAAATGTTCTGGACCCAGGCACAGATGATGGCTGCAAACACTGAACACATGAAAGCCACTGACTGGTGACTAAACTATTTCATGTTATGTCAATTTGGACTCAAAGAAAAATAGATAGGGGACTCCTTGCTCCAAGAGCTGCCACATGTGTCCTGCAGCCAGGTGCTGTCGCCCCCCGCCCCCCACAGCCGCCTGGCACTAGGGACAGCAGCACTGTGCTAGACCCACCTTCCGAGTTCTGCCGGGAGGTGGCGCCCTTGATGCGGAAAGCCTGTCGCGCACGGCTGCGGTCCCCAAAGCTCCAGCTCTTGGGCACCTTGCTCGGGCTGTCTTCAAGGCTCTGCTCAGCGCTGGGTGACCGCCGGACTGGCTGGGCCTGGGGAGACCCCTTCCCCTTGGCAGCCACGCCTCGGGGGCTGGAGAAGACACGGTCTTTCAAACTGACCTTCTGACTGAGCCCACGAGAACCAGCAGACAGATGGGTGGACAGACAGACACACAGAAAAACAGCAAGAGAAGTCACTCCGCAAAGAACACGGTCCGTGTCTGCTTGCAGCCGATGCTGCCTGCCCCACAAGACAGGAGGGAGACGCAAGTTCAAACAGTAACGAACCAGGCTGGGGGCTGGGAGCAGCTGCTGGGCCGAAGCGCGGGGCAGGAGGGGCAGCCGCGCAGGTGCGGCCAGAGCTTGGCCATGCCTGGGGGGTGATGACCACGGACTCGGAAACCATTCCACAGCACCACGAGGTGCCAAGCCCCTCACGCTGTCTTGCCAGCACCCCCAGCATGACACAAGAGCGTGGGCTCTTCCCTGGAACATTCCGTGCCAGCTGCTTCCTGGAGGTCCCTCCAACTGCCCCAGCCGACCCTGTCTTTCCACTTCCTGCCCAGCCCCAGGAGAGGCTGGGGCCGCAGCCAAGACCCGTCCAGCTGCACAAGCCTCCCCGACAGACCCTGGGACCACCTGGCCTCCCAGGCTGCTGTGGGCTCCTGCATGGCTCTGGCCCACTGCTATGCACCGCCTCTCACCAGGATGAGTCTGGACAACCAAACCTGCAGCTTCTGCAAGGACACCAAGGAAGAGGCACCCGGCTGTCACAGGCCAAGGCCCCACCAAGAGGAGGTGGCTACAAGACAATGTCTTCTCCCCAGAGCTCTTTCCAGCACGGCCTCTGCTTCCTCAGGCCTCCCTTGTCCCCATGGTTCTTGGTAACCATGGAGATGGAGCTAATGCCCCGAGTTCGCCAGCTCCAGTGTCCCCTGGTCAGCAGGAGAGATGGACGGCCCACAACTGGGCTGCTCCCGACACAATGGCCTCCACCCCTTAGTCTGTCTGGATCCCGACTAGCCACTCGCTCCTCCCACTTGCAACTCCACCGTCACCCCAGAGAACGCCAGGTCTCTGGTGAACTGGACACCACATGCGCCAGCCTCGCAGGACCCACAGCCTTCCCACAACAGCTTCCGGCAGGGCCAGAGGTCAGTCTCAGGGTCAGAGCGGCCTGGTGGGTCTCAGAAGTACCCGCTGGGGAAGTCCCTGTGCCAGTGCCCCTCAGCAATGCCTCGGCCCCTCCACACCTCCACCATGGCAGCCCTACCCAGGACCCACAGCCAGAGCAACACAGCCAGCAGATAGTGCAGGGAGGCCATCGCAGGAAGAGGCCGCCATGACTGTCACCCACCCCAGACAGCACGGACAGGGCCAATGTCCTGTCTGCACCCCACCCCAAGGAAGCACACAACTTCAGTGACCGTTTGCACCTCCTGGGTCTCTGAAGATGAGAAAGCAGGAAGGAAATGTACGGGGCCAGTGGCCTGGCCTGGAACCCTCCTAGATGGAGAGTGAGGAACCCGCGAGGCGTCCTGCATCCAGTGAGCATCAAGGGGAAGCACCATCTGTTTGCTCGGGATGCTGGTGGATGGGAGTCAGGGACACCTCGAGACCAGGTGATCTTCGCATTCCCATCCCAACAGAGGCCTCAAACACTGGGGCCACCTGACAAGGGCTGTGGTGGCTCTTGTCCAGCTCAGGGGATGCCAGCTTCTGGAATGCCCTCTCTTCCTATGGGCTCCTCCTCCGTCATATAACCATTCAGATGCAGGAAACGGCCCCTCCCAGCCCGTCCTGGGGCAGGCTCTAGGACACATGGGAAATCACACTAATATCATGCAAGGTCTCACTTCCACTCTTCCCTCCTCCGTCCTGAGCAATGACAGAAAGGAAACAAGGAGAGCCAGTCCCTTCCTTCTGAATCAAGCTGTGTGGTAAAACTGAGTTGATTGGCCTGAATTCAATCGCAGGGTTGCCTCCTCTCAGAGCACCTGGGGATTCACAGCCCTGCTGGTTCGCAAGTAGGAAAGGTGGCCATCAGAAATTGACCTCACAGTCCTGCCCTGGAAGGCCATGCAGCGATGGGCCAACAAGTCAAATGCTTGCCTACCCAGCCTTCGCCAGGCCAAGAAGGCACAGAACCCCAAGTGTCCAGAGAGCTGCACAAGGGGGACTGGAAGTGAATTTTGCAAGGTCCTTCCAGAAGAGGAAACCCAAAGCCAACTGCTCCTACTCCCAGCAGGACATCCTGCCAGTCTGCCATGAGATGCGTTGGCCCAGCTGAGCCCGGGGTCACCTGGGGCCATGGCAGAGGCAGAGCTGCCAGGGAGCAACCAGAGCTTTGTGGTGGCTCTGCTGTCCCAGCTCTTGGGCTCCACTCCTACGGAGAACTGCAAGGGAGCCCCTGCCATGGGAGGGGCAGTGTGACCCGACCTGCAGGCCTGTCAGTCCCCAGCCATGCTTCTTTGACTGCAGGGCTGGCTGCCAGTGTGGCCTCGCAGCTCCCCCTTACCTCCAAGCTGAGGACAAAGCACACACAACGAGGGGTCCTGACAGCCTCCCCGCTTGCCCCAGTGAGAGCCCAGTACCGGGTCAGTCGCTTTGGCATTTACAAGGGAGAAGCAAGCTCAGGCAGAATCGGGGAAAGAGAGTGAGCCCCAGCCTTTCCCCCACCCGTCACTCTCTCCGGGCTGAAACTCAAACAGGGATGTGCCATGAGATGGCCCTCGGCCTGGCCAGCACTCGGGGAGACCAGCTCAGCAATGCAGGGAGCTGCCCAGCCCACACTGGACCAGTGATGCCCAGGGAGAACAAGGGGACATTCAACAAGTGCACAGGGCAGGGCAGGGCTCGGCAGGGCTCCTCCTGCTCCACACTCCTAAACCTTTCTGGTCCCCAAGCAGTCTAACATCAGCCCTTGCCCCAAGGATTCTGCCTGTGGCCAGAAGCACCCTGGACACAGACGCTGGCCAGGCAATCAGGACAGGTGCAGCCAGGGCCCAAGCAGAGTACCCCCTTTCTGGAGCCGCAGGAGGCTCTCCAGCGAGTGCCCGACTCCAGAAGGCACAGGCGGCAGAGAGGCCCTGGGGCAGTGTGGACCCTGCAAGCCCCTCTCCCAGTGGAGAAGGGTTGGAGCATGCACAGATGCAGAGGCACAGCATGCTGCTGGGCACCACCTCACCACATGCACAGGGCCAGGTGCACTCCCACCCACGGGCACTGTGCAGCCGGCTGCCTGCACGCGCTGGGCAGCATTGGGGGGAGGGGGACTCAGAGGCAGGGCCCCAGAGCAAGCAGGGCAGATGCCTCCACACACCCAACAGCAGACAGGGGCGGGCAGGTGTGGTCAAGGTGCAAGGGGCGGGCGGGGCCTTTCCACCATCCTGAGTCCAGTCTGTCCTAAACCAGGCCTGTAAGTCGGAGAGGGAGCCGCGGCCTCCGGCTTGGGGCTGAGGTGTCTCAGGAGCCCGGCACACGCGAGCACACCACGAGCTGCGTCCTGTGGCAAGACGCTGGCTAAGGATGGGCCTCGATGCCTAGTAGAGGTGCCAGACTGACCAGCCCTGGAGGAATCGCTCCCTGGCAGGCAGTGTCACGTTTCCATAGCAATAAAATGGGGCTCTGGCCGGCGCCTGCCTCAGCAGCAGCAGCGGCAGGGGCGCCTCGGAGTGGCGGGGGAAGGCCAGGCCTCAGAGCCGGGGGCGCTGGCCGGCTCATCCGGAACCTCTAGTAAGCAGGGGGCGGGAGCGTGCAGCGGGCGTCAGTCCGTGCGTGCGAGCGTTGCGCGGTACCTAGAGTGTCCGGGGCAGCATCCACACAGGCACCCTCGGCACGGTCTGCCTTTACTGGAAACGAGGAGAGCACAGTTAGTCCAGGGCTGGGGGCACGACAGGACCCGGCCGGGCGGCGGGCACACTGAGGCACTGCCACCACCAGGGACGGCTGGGCCCACAGTCCCTCAGCTGTGGAGTGTGAGTCTGAGCAAGGACAGCCAGAGGGGAGGCACCAAAGTCTTCCACAGCCTGGAAAAGAAAATAGCCTCCTATTTTTGGAGAAAAGGATTCTGGGTTTTTTCCTCCAAAAATACCTTTTCCTTCCAAAGCCAGAGTTTGAGTCCATGTCTTAAAAGATGTATTATTTTTTTGCTCTAGTCATGCCACCAACAACAAAAATAATACACGGGCTAAGACTGCACAGGATGATTCTGGATGGATATGACCTGCGGTAACTGTTGTGAAGCATGCACCTTGTAGGGGGAAAGAAATGTGCAGCTTAACGTTCAAACCAGTCAGCAAGGTATCACCACCCAGTGGGCCTCAGTTTCCCCAGGGGGCACTGTCTGCCCCTAACTGGCGGTGGCTAAGGAGAAGAAGGTTTGGGGATGCCTGGACTGAAGAGGACTTTTGCCAGAGCTAGTTCATCACCATCTTGATGAGGCCACCTTCACGCCAGGCCCTCGGAAGAGGGACAGCAAATGCCAAACTCGCCCAAGAATCTCACCAAAGCCCTTGAGGTTTGTTTCTGCATTAGGACATGCATATTTTAAATAAAAATACAAACAATAAGCAGCAATAACAGAAATCATCATTTCCCTGCAGGCCTTCCCCGCCCCTTGGCAGCCAGTTCCTCTGGGGCCACTTTTCTCAAACTCTGCACCCAAGGAACCTCCTGTGTACGACGGTCTCAAGTCAGAAGCAAGCTCCAGGAAGGATGTGTTTAGAGCTCCGTGTTCCTTCACACATTTATTTAAATACGGATGCCCCCGCTGCACATTTCCCATAGACAAATCTCTCCACTTAGGCACGAAGGACACACTGTTTGAATTTTGGTGAATGAGCGTGGGGTGGTTCCTTAGAGTGCCCTGCTGCCCCGGAGTCCTGGACCCTTGCCCAAGGAGGACCCTGAGTATGCGCAGGCTACAGCCCACTCTATACGGGGCTTGCTTTTTAAGCAGAAAAACAGCTTCGTGATCCCCAGGTGCTTTGAGGATGCAGGACTAAGTAAAGCTAGACCGGATGAGCCTCTCAGAGCAGGCACTGCCAGCACAGCCCCCCAAGAGGCCCCTAGTGGCAGCTGCAGCCCAGAAGCCCCCGCTGTGCACAGAAGCTCTGCCTAACTCGAGCCCCAGTTGCACTGAACCCTGCACGTGGGCTTCAGGACAGAACACAGGGCTGCTGCCCGTGGACCTTCAGAGGTCCTCACCCCTGGGGGAGAAAGATGAAGGAGGTCCCTGGTTCACAGCACCAGTAAAGGTCCCCAGATTTGACCCCAGCAACGTCTCTTCACCCCAGAAGCTCCTCCCAGAGTCCTGCAGCCAAGCTCTACAATGGGAAGTGGCTTGACAGCTGCAGTCGGGTCCCATGGCTGCTGACCACCAGGCACTGAGGCAGGCGGCCCTTCGCTCTGTAAATGTGCTGCCAGTCACCCCCCCCAAACACCCCCCACCGCTTGGTGGGTGCCAAGGAGCCCCGACTCTGGCCGGCATGACAACGTCCATTCCCCCGGGGCTTGAGGCTGACACTGGGCTTTTCCCCACCCCCATCAGCCAAGCAGACCTCAAGGCCCCGGGTGGAAGCCAGCAGGCAAGCCCGTGGGGTTCTGTGGGGAACAGAGATGCCCACAGACACTGACCAAGACCAGACAGGACAGACAGCACCAAACACGTACCCGCCTCCCCCTGCAGAGAAGAGGCAAAGCTGGGTGGCGGCTCCTCCAGGAGCGGGGGCAGGAGGCAGTGAGGAAGGGGTGGGACCACAGAGGACAGGTCAGAGCAATCATGGCCACAGAGACACACCGGAGCAGCACGGAGCCCCGCCTTTGCCCCACTGCCTGCCCCAGAGCCCCGCACAGACCCCTGAAAGGCTCCAGCCCAGTCACATGGGCCCTGCTGGGGCCAAGGATCCTGGCCAGCTGGGGGCTCACCACCTTGTGCCCATGTCCTGACCCAGGACCAGGAGGGTCCGCAGCAGCTGAGATACAGTCCCTGCATCCACACCATCCACCTGCCTGGACCAGGTGATGCCAGCTGGGACCCTGGAAGGGTAGGGCAGGGCTCTGCGTTCAAAGACAGGCAGAGGGGAGACCACTGGCTCCCACTGGACTGCCAGAGATGGTGCCAGCAGAGGCCTAGGGAGAAAAACTCCCCTCAGCACTTTGCAGAACGGGCCTCTCACCAGGCGGCCCAGGGACAGGCCACCTGCTACTTGTTACCCAAGTGAAAGAGCAGTGTCCTGCACACCTACTATGTGCTGGGTGCTAAAGAGGGGCTGTGGCTGCCCCAGATGGGACAGAGACACCACCCTCTGTCACCTGGCCAGCAGGTGTGGTCCCAGGAACAGGTGGGTGGTCATCACTGACAGAAGCAGCCCCTGGAGCCCACCCAAGGGATGGGCCCTGAATCAGCTGCCCCAGCTTAGCACCTTACCCCAGAGCATCCCAGGAGGGCCAGGCAGGTGGACACTGGCCCTCAGGGAAGGGTGTGGGGAGGCACAGGCAGGCAGGGACCACCGACACGCCACGCAGGGAAGACACGGGAGTGGCAAGGACAGGGAGCGGGGAGCCACGGAACATACCAGAGAGCTGGGGCTCCCAGGGGTCCTCACCTCGAGTCCTGCCTTCAGGGTCAGCACCTCATCCCAAAAGACAGAGCAGACGAGAAAGGGCCCGAGAAGGGCAGTGACAGTGATTAAAAGCACTTAATGGGGGCAGGAGAGGGAGAGAGAGAGAGGCTGAGAGAGAATCACGAAGAGGAGGCTGAGCTAAGGCAACAAGCCCGAGAAACCGCAAGGGGCCAGGGGCCTTGGGGCCAAATGCTCACAGGAGGGCCTGGTGCTGGGTGGCAGGAGATGCAGTGGACAGGACCCCAGGCCCACTGGGCAGATCGGCGCTCAGCACCAGCATTCCTGGCCAAGGGGGCACAGGGCTCCACTGGCCACTGCCGGGCACTGGGGCCAGGGAGGGCAGCCACACAGATGGCGACAGTGAGAAATGGGGTGCCCTCGTTACGGATAACCCCTGACCGTGGGGCTGAGCACCCCACCCTTTCACCAGGGCCAGGTGGGGCTGGCTCTCTCCTTTCCTCATCTGGTCACCGGCGACACTAGGTCGCACACTGGCCAGCACTGGGATGACCTCTCCAAAGCTCCACAATTAGTTTTCTTATCCTCTTTGAGGAGTTTTCAGTCAGTGGTTGTTCCTTCAGCTGATTTGGGGCAGAGACGTTGCTGATACTTTCAATTCAGGGCTCTGGCTATTATTACCCTTTCGTGGATTTGACGGGTGAAGGATCAAGTCCTTCTTGAACGGACCCCACCTGCTAGCTGGGTCACCCTATAGTCCAGAAGGGCATGAGGGAGACGGTCAGATGTCTAACTCAGACCGGTTCAGGTTTACTCTGCAGCAAATGCACAGGCACTGGACCGGGAGACCCTCACTCAGAGGAGCTTGAGAACTCAGCAAGGATGCACAGTGGCTGGAGCTCATTCAGCCTGACGTTTGTGAAATGAGTTGGATTTTCTTTTCATCACTAGGAAAGCAGCAGCTGGCTCCTGCCCTTCCGTCCCAAAGCAGAGCTGGCCCCATGAGCCTTCTAACTTGCCTGAACACACAGCCTCCTGGGGCCAGCAGAGAGCAGGGAGAGGACCCAGCTGAAGCCCCTGGATGCCCTCAGGCTGCCTCAACCTCAGCAGAGGGAACAGAGTGAAGTCAGGCCCCACCGGGGCCTATGAGATGGGGAGAGGGCGTCCGACACCCAGGACAGGTGACCCAGAGACTGAGGGCCCTCCTGGCCCAGCCCCGAATGGCCGGAGGGGGGCTCCACTCAGACTAGCTGTAAACCCAGGTCCTGTGCGGGAACTCTCCAGCCTCAGCGTCTCCGGGGAGGTTGGAGGTACGGGCAGAGGGGCCCACCCACGAAGCCCCCAGCGGCCCAACCGGCAGTGCTGCCCAGTGAGCCCAAAGCCCTGGGAGGAGGCTGTGAACACAGGCACACGCGCACACACGGAAGCACGCACGGGGCCCGCATAGCAGCCCTCACCCCACGACTCGCAGTGGGCACACAGAGGAGCAGGACCGAAGGGTGTCCACAAGGCAGACACACCAAAGCAGCTGGAGGCAGGAGGGACTGACCTGGGCGACGGCTCCGGCTGAGGCTCCTTCCTGCAAACAGAGCGACAAGAATGTCACCACCACCTTCGGGAGGGCCCCACAGAGCACCCCTCAGCACCCCCGAGGATGCCCCATGTCTGGGCCCCATGCTCCCATGGAGGACAGGGCGCCTGTCTTGCTGAGGGGCCTTCAGGATGCAAGTCCCAGCAATAGGAGGGGCTCCCAAAGCAGGCCCTGGGCCTCTGACCCAAGGCTCCTCTCCCCACCCCTTACGTCCCCCAGTGGCAGATTGACCTAGCCAAGAGCGTTGCTGCACCCAGTGCTCACCCAGGGCCATTCTGCTTGCAAGGCCACTTCGGCCTCCGTCTGTTTAGTTTGGGCTGCTTACTTCCACCGGTACTATTCATTGTAAACTGAAGCCAAGCTCTGTGGCTCGGGTCTGGCCCTCGAAGCCAGGCAGCCTGGGAGTGATGGGCACAGGCTGGCGGCTGCAGTGTGGTGAGGGCCCTTCTGCCAACTTCCCAGTGTTGTACACGTCACATGACCCATTACAGTGACAGCAGCAGAGGAACAGGGTATGGCCCCTGAGGATGAGCCCCAGGCCTCCTTGCTCCCCTTTCTACCATCGGGAAGGGTACACCTCAAAGAGGGGCCATCGGAGCTGGGCCTGTGTGTGGCACTGGGCCTGCAGTCTCCCCGAAGCCCCGAGCTCAGCTGAGATGCTTAGGCCTCCAGGCACATGGAGGCCCAGCCTCACCCGTGGGTCTTACAGTTTGCCCAGCACTGGCAGCGCTGGATTCTCATGGTTATTGCAACAAGTTACTACAAACTTGGGGAACTTCATGAGAATTTACTCTCTCGGGTTGGGGATTTAGCTCAGTGGCACCATGCCTGCCTCACAAGTGCAAGATCCTGAGTTCAGTCCCCGGTACCAAAATAATAATAAAGAGTTTACTCTCTCTTGGTTCTGGAGGCCATACATCCCAAATCAGGTCGTGGGCAGGGCTGCGCTCCCTCCAGGGAGGTCCAGGGAGCCCTTCCTGCCTCTTCCTACCCCGGGGGGCTATGGCACCGTCTATCCGGCGCTCATCTCTTCCAACTTCCCAGGATGCTCTCTTCCATGTCCTATGTCTCCACTCCCCTTTAGGACAGCTGCCCAGAGCCGCAGCTCATGGGCAATCAGGATGACCTCATCCCAGACCTTTAACTCACCACCTCCACATTCACAAGTTCTGAGGCATGAACATATTTGGGGAGGCCAGCATGCAAACTCTAAGTCTACTCCGTGCTCCCTAAAATTTGTTTCCGCCTTACATCCACAGTGCACTCACCCATCCCAACATCCCCCACAGTCTCAACCCACTGTGGCATGCGATTTCATCTAAATACCACTAGCTCAAAAAGCCCCAAATTCCGTCACTTTAAATCATCTAAGTGATTTAAATCAGGTGTGGCAGACACTGGGCGTGGCCTTCCTGGGGCCAAAGCACAAGGACTTGTGATTCTCAAAATACGCTGTCTACTTAAAACTACACGGCTGGCAAAGTGAGTGTCACGGCCACCCACAAAGGAAGACGTGACAGGGTCCCTGGCCACCCAAGCTTGAAATCCAGGGAGCAAATCCCCCTTGGTCTTGGGCTCTGGGGGCAGGCCATGGCTCCTGGCTCCGGTGGCCTCTGCCTCCACTGCAGCCCCCCGCTCCTGCTGCGAAGGGCAGGGCATGAGCAGCCGGCTGCCTCCTGAGCCTCTGTCCTGCTTGTACCTCCTTAGCAGTCCAATGGCCTCTTTTTCTTCTGTCCATGCTGGCAGCCTTTCTGCTGCCCAAACCCTTGGGACTGTCACAGGGGCAGTGCCATGCGTGCCGGCAGGGTGCTCTGTGCCTGCTTCCTGGCACTCAGCTTCTGCTGAGGTGGATGCCTGGACCAAGTCACACACATGACCTCATCAGCAAACGACCGTCCAGTCTCACTTGTGGCCTTGGCTCCAGAGCTGGCTTTCCCCTCACGAGTCTGAGTTAGGGTCCTTTGTTGTGAATCGGCCAGGAACCTCCCGAGCCTTCAAGTTCTGCTTTCCTTTACTAGTTTCTCCTCGGTTTCTCTCCTTGAGAAATCAGGCTGCACCCTCCAATTTGCTTCCTGAACTAAACCTCAAAGTTCATCACTTAAAAATTCTGCTTCCAAGGACTGGGGATTTCACTCAGTGGTGCCGCACCTGCCTCGCAAGTGCAAGGTCCTGAGTTCCATTCCTGGTAAGAAGAAAGAAAGACAAAAGAAAGAGAAAGAAAGGAAGGAAGGAAGGAAGAAAGAAAGAAAAAAGAAAGAAAGAGAAAGAAAGAAAGAAAGGGAAAGAAAGAAAGAAAGAAAGAAAGAAAGAAAGAAAGAAAGAAAGAAAGAAAGAAAGAAAGAAAGAAAGAAAGAAAAAGA